CACTTTGCACACAGACAATTAAAAAAACTTGATATATTCACAGGTAAATCTTTTTTTTTAAATTATTAGAAATACTTCACTGAAAAATATTTTTTTGTATGTGAAAGACATATAATGTTTACTGAAAGTCTGCCAAGTTTTGGAAGATATACATACTATATTAAAAGTTAATAGTATCAAAACTATAAAGACTTTATATGAGTACAAAGAGGTCATGCGGTCTGTCAAATCAAACAAGCCTGTGTTGAGAGAGTTAAATAAAAAAATGGACCATATATAGATATATATATAGATAGACTTGTAGAACTTACTTAATTTTTTCGTCAGAGGCAAAAAAGTGGCTGTCAATTACATGTTCTGTGAAACACAAGTATCTCAATATGCAATCATTTTTGTGATGTTTAAATATCTTTTTTAAAATATTTCTTCTTTATAAAATTATTAAAAATCTGTATGATATGTGTATTGCTATGCTATCTGACTTAAACTGTGAGTGCCATAGACACATAATTCTTGTATGAAAAACAAATTACAAGAAGGTGGAATCCCTATAATTCATGATGTTGAAAAGAAACCATTCAAACAATAATGCCAAAGAATAAGTCAGTTGTAGCAACTTCTTTAAGATCATTTGTGATGAAGGCCAAGTCCCTCTGCTAAATGGAAAGTTAAATGTTGTGCTCACAAACAACTGAATTTTATATCATGACCTCTTCTGGTTGCTAGTGTTTTTTCAATATGTGTATCTGTATTTTGAGTTTCCAGGTTTACATATATTCCTGAAGTAAATTAAAGTCAAACTTAAAATGCATTAGTATATTCTTAAATGATGAATTCAGACAGGTTATAATCCAACAATTTTAAAGGTTGTATCTTTATTTTTCTAGTAATGTGATTGATAAGAAAATAATACTAAATATTAAAAACCTTTTAATTAAAATCAAAATAACTATCATTTTTTATCATATTAGCAGAAATATAACAATAAACACAATGTAAAATGATGGTAAATTTACACTTTATTTAATATTTAAGTTGCCAGAGAGTTGGCAGTCAGTGTTGCCAGCCAGTTGCCTTCCCTCTAGTCAATAGTTCAAAATGAGTAACAGTGATTCAGTAACTTTACAATAACAGAGACAGGGCAAGCAAGATTAGTAGCAATAGGAATTGAACCCGAGAACTTCAAATGACTATACATTTCCCCCAGTTTAACGTATGTAGCTTTGTGTTTAACAACAAATATAATGGCAATATATTGATTATTTGGATAGCTTGAATAATCGAAAACAGTAAGTAACAGGAAACTAAATGTCAATTAGTTACTTACTTTTGTGACAATTGATTTCATCATACTTTTGATTGAAATTGATAATAATCAGAACAAGTAATTTTGATGAGTTAATTATTTTGGTGACAATCAATTAAATCATAATTTCAATTAATCAACTTTTGAAGTAATCAAAAACAGTATTCATCAGAAACACTATGTTGTGATTTAAAAAAAAATTACATCCCTTAAATTTTTATCCACATGCTAACAAATGACCTCAAATATGATCATGGTTACCCCCCTTCCCCCAAAACAGTAGAAATGTGTGGCTCTGTGAAACATTTTCATCTCTTTATGAAGTGTATTACATGTTAAAATGATTTATAAAAATTATTTATACTTACAATGCAACAAACTTCACCATTGCTTTACTGATAGTTTCAGATACTGATACAAGACACTGAACTGTAAAATGTTGTTGACGAAGAACAAAAAAACACTGTTTTCCTGTGAAAAATCAATGAAAAAAAAAGTTGTAATTGCCAGTCATCTGAAAGAACAAATACTAGTACTACTGTTACTAGTAGCACTACTTACTGTATACAAATGAAACATGACAAATGTTTTACCAATTTAAGAAATAATGGTCAAATATGGAATATTTTGGTCTATTTATGAAATTATTCACACAAAAAATCAATTCGTTCTTCAATATGAGGTATATACCATTAATGAATGTGCTTGTTAGCTAACCAGATATTCATTCTTTCTAGTACAATTACTTATAACTCAGTTAATATTTGCCTCTTTTGAACTTCATTTTGAACAACAATGTTACATTGTGTTAACTCCTTCAACCTGGGCTCGGTCCCTGGGACCAACCTCGTAACCATTTTGTGCTTGTTATAGTTTTCATG